CCCAAATCAATGATGATATTAGAGGGGATGGTCTCCATTACATTACGCTGCGAGACATGGTTTCATAGAAGTGGTGCAACTGCTTATGGATAGCGGAGCGGATCCAACACTGCGAGCAAAGGACGGTCGGGTGCCGCTGTGTTGTGCGGCCGGCGCCGGACATTTCCAGGTCCTCAGTTACCTCTTCAAGAAGGAACACAACGCTCTATCACTGATGGAAGACAAATCGGTCGGTTATTTGCCATTCATTCACTACAATAACATACATTATACATATAATACCAATCATTTGATTGCCTTGAAATAGTTTTTACTGGATTTGATGGTGTGTTCGAAACAACACGAGAACAAACCGATCCAAGAGTTCATATTAGTGTCTCCGGCGCCGATCGATACGGCCGTCAAATTAGCCAAATGTTATGAAAACTTATCCCAAAAAGAAAAGGATAGGACACGTGATCTGGAGGCCGCGTGTGAGTACTGCGACCAAATCGCTACCGACCTGTTGTCAATCGCGGCGACGACCAACAACGCGGGTCGACTGCTTCGGGCAGTGGACCACAAGGGCACTGAGTTTCTCGATGTGCTCATCGAGTTGGAGCGCAAAGACGTGGTCGCCCAACACGCCGTCCAGCAGTACTTGACCAACGTGTGGATCGGCAATATGAAATGGGCTGGGTGGAAATTCATTGTACTATTCTTCTCATTCCTCATATGTCCCCTCATTTGGATAGTGGTCTCGTGTCCGATAGGCAATCGACTCTCCAATAAGCCCATCATTAAGTTTATGCTATACTTAGTGTCGCACATATTCTTCATTGTGATCCTCACCTTCACAACAGTCAACCCTTGGCTTCCCCTGTATAAGAACACCGGGCAGTGGCCCCATTGGCACGAGTGGTTGTTGGCCACCTTCGTGTTGGGCGTATTCCTGGCCGAACTGACCAATCCGGCCGATAGGGACGGACTCGGGGGCATCAAAGTAGTGGTGGTGTTTGTGTGCTTCATAGCTGTGATGGTGCACCTGATGGCCATCGTGTCGGGCCTACTGTCGCTGTTCGACGAGGAGAGGCGTTTGGTGATGCTGTACATCCGGAACCAGCTGTTGGCGGTGGCGCTGTTGCTGTCATTCCTGGAGTTCCTCAACTTCCTGACATTCCACCACCTGTTCGGGCCGTGGGCTGTCATCATCAGAGACCTCATCAAAGACTTGCTCCGCTTTCTGGCCATTTTAGGCATCTTTATGGTGGGCTTCTCACTACACGTGTGTGCGATCTATCAGCCAGTGTTTCAGCCGCCGGACACCATCAACGGCACACTTCCCAGCGTTGGTCAGGAGTTCCAGTCGCCGGTCGACACGTTTGAGATGCTGTTCTACGCGCTGTTCGGTTTGGTAGAGCCCGACTACATGCCGCCCATGCACTTGAGCCCACCCATCGCCAAAGTGATCATGAAGTTGGTGTTCGGCGTGTATATGATGGTCACTGTAGTGGTGCTCATCAACCTCTTGATCGCTATGATGTCCAACACATACCAGCGAATACAGGCCCAGTCCGACACCGAGTGGAAGTTCGGTCGCGCGAAACTCATCCGCAATATGAACCTCACGTCACCCACGCCTTCGCCCATCAATGTCTTCATTGGCATCCCTTATATGGCGTACCAGAAGTTGGAGCGCATCCGCAACGAGCGTAAGGGCCGCGTAGGTCTGGCCACAGCAGCTCTGGCCCATCGGCCCAGTGTTGTGGCCACCAAACAGTGGCTTCAGGGACAGCGACGCGCCTCCAGAGCCACCAGTCATATGAGCAGAACGTTGGGCCCATCCATGACCGACGAGGGAGAGGCCCCCAAACCCATCACAGACGTCATCAACTGGCCATCCATTGTCAAGAAGTACCTCGAGTTCATCGGAGCCATCGGTGTTGGCGGCGAAGAGCAGGACGACAAACAGGACAACACCGACGCCGCCGACGACTCCAACAGCCAATCCAACGTCTGAGCAGTAGTTGCAGGTCTACTCCAACACCACCAACACATCCAACACTACACTATATTATATATTGTCTATTATATCACATATTATGTCATTCATGTAATATATGTAACACTTATGACAACTTGTAATACAAGTGCCAAACAATCAAATCTATTGTCAAATCATTTCCATTCAAAATCGCCGCCAAAATAGCACTCAATCACACTTTTAACTGGAAATGGCATCCAAAACATCAATCACGTCAAGCATGGGGTGAGTGGTGGGCAAAGGGGGTGCGGGGGTGTGGGGGCAGTAGTGGTGGTGGCAGTGGTGGTGAGGGGGCGATGGTTAGTGTGTTGTGGGCGCGTTGGTGGTGAACGAGCGGTAAGGGTGTAGGGCTGGTGTGATTGGTTGTAAATGCCGGTGCGTTTGAATGGACCAATGAGGGTGAGGCCATTGACTGGTAGTCTCTATACCAGTGCTATGCGATGCGAATGCATGCAATGGCAATGCAGTCAATGTGTATACTCTCTATGCGAGTCCTATTCGAATGCTATACCAATGCTATACTAATGCCATACTCTCTATGATATGCTGTGTATGCGATGTATGCTATGCTATGAGTGGTAATACCATAGCTCTAACATAGCCTCCCATTGGATTGCATTGGATTTGTATTGTTGTGAACACTGCTGTGAATACTGTGCACTGCATTGAGGCTCTCATAGAGACTGCATTACGTTCTATACATTCAATACATTCGTACAGACTTTGCATTCAATTCTACCAACACTTGAATCCAAGTTTTGAATTTGTCTTTTGCTCAACAAATACTAAACCCATTCGCGTAAGTCTTATACCATTTATTACTCATTATATGCCAAACATGTTGTATATCTTAAATTATGCCAACAATTAGTTTTGTGCCACTTTTGGCCACTTATACCGACACCTATTCCAGCCATTGCTGTCATTACAAAGACATACAAAGCAATGGCTGTATTGCCAGTACTGCCAGTACTACAGCCCATACCCTATACTCTATCACTAACTCTTGTAATGATTATTATTGCCAATAATGAGCGCATCGTCTGATTATTACAGCATTTATGCATTCATTTCTAAATGATATATTCATATAATGTGTGAATTAATTGCAAAATGTGTTGAAAAATAGTTGATCTGCTTTTTGTGAAGACAGTCGACTCGTATAGTATGAGTGCGCGCTTTGTGTGCCATTGCTTTACGCTATCATTGCTATAACTATAGCACTATTGCTGTACTTATACTGCATTCAAAGCAATGGTAGAGAAGGCTTTGAATGCAACGGCTTTTTGTTCAATACATTGCTTTCAATGCTATCACAGCACTGATAGGCAGCCATAGAGGCATCACTACAGCACTCGTAGGCAAACAACGCAATACACTATACAGTACTCTACTCTACCCTATGCTATAGTATTGCTGCCAAACACTCCATTCTCTACCATATTATATAACTTCTATGTGAGACAACTATTGCTCTCAAGCAGTCAATGGTGTTCTAACTTTGGATCTGTTGGCTAACTATAGATCGAGTTCTAGGACTCACTCTATAAGAAATGGTCAAAATATATGAGTGGTTAGGGTTAGCACTGATAGGCATTTGGCGCTCAAACATACAGTATATGTGAATTTGTGGACTTGTGTTGGCATTGTTTGGATGTGTAGTTGAATCGCTGAATGTGTTGATTGCAATGTAATCCCTGTGTATAGTATGCCGAAAGAGCCGGGCAAACCTCGCGGTCGTATGTCTGCGTACGCCTACTTCGTGCAGACGTGTCGAGAGGAGCACAAGAAGAAGCACCCGAACGAGAACGTGGTGTTCGCCGAGTTCTCGAAGAAGTGCGCCGAACGCTGGAAGACCATGAATGACAAGGAGAAGAACCGCTTCCACGTGTTGGCCGAGAAGGACAAGAAGAGATACGACGGAGAAATGGCTAACTATAAGCCCCCGAAGGGAGAGAAGGGCGGCCGCAAGAGGAAGAGGACCAAAGACCCGAACGCCCCGAAGCGGGCCCTCTCGGCCTTCTTCTGGTTCTGTAACGACGAGCGCCCGCGAGTTAAGGAGACTATGAATGACGCGACCGTCGGAGAGGTGGCCAAAGAACTCGGCCGGCGATGGAATGAATGCACTGAAGACCAGAAGAGCAAATTCGAGGCGTTGGCCGCCAAAGACAAGGCTCGCTATGAAAAGGTTGGTTTGGTTTGCATTGAATGTATAGACGTTTGTATTGACTGATGTTGTGCTGTTGTAGGAGATGAAGGTGTATAAGGCGAAGAAGGGAAAGCCGGCGCCCGTGAAGGCGCCCCCGAAGAAGGAGGAGTCGGACGATGACGACGAGGAGGAGGAAGAAGAAGAGGAGGAGGAGGACGACGATGACGACTGAACACTTGGTCGCACCAGTGCTCGACTCGACCACCAGTTGGGCTCTCATCACAACTTGAAATTTGTTCATAACTTCTCTTTGATTTTTATTCATTTAATTCTAAACACAATAATAATTCATAAATCGATAGGTTTTTGACTTTTCTTTATTCACCAGTAATTTAGTCCCATTTTTCACATAATTATTCATTTCATACAATTTTAATGTTCATTAAAACTGACTTTCGGGCAGATTTTGGTTGTAATTCTATTATTAGATTCAATGGATTTGTTTTCAATACTACAATACATTGTATTTCAAATTATAACTTATGATAATAACATTTCTTTGTGTGAGTACTTAATGTTGATTACAATTCAATTACACACTAATTGTTTCATAGATTTCAATGTATTTAATGTAAGACTTGTCGACAAATACTAAACTATTATTTAATTAATCGGAGACTCATTTGTGGACAAAATGTCTTGACTTTTATTAAAAATTCTTATCTCTAAAGCATTGTTTCAATTGATTTCAAAGTCCATGTGATTAGAGTGAGTACTGGTTTGATGTCAACGGTTCCAGTGTTTGGTTAACAATCGCTTATCACTACTGGTGCCCATCATTACCGGCAGTGCCGGCACATGACATACCGGTTGCCAACACTGAATGCAGACATAGATGTCAGCACTGGTTGTGTTACCTATTGTTGACATTTTTGTGTGATTTGTATGAATAGTAGAAATGGAGGCAAAGATAGGAGAAGAGGCTGAGAGGACGCGACCTTTCTTTCCCAAAGACAACGCCATTCCTCTCAATTCAATCGACTGGAAGTCGCGATACAATGAGCTCAAGAACCGCAAGGATTGGGACGACAAGAAGGACTTCGTAGGGTTGAAGCGTTTGGGCAATAGTTACCATCCATTGGACCCATTCTTCAAGTTTGAAGGCGTGCCCAACGGTAACGACACTTTGGACCGCATTTGGTGGCCCTCTGTCTGCGGTTTTATGGGAATCGCGATCTCTGCCGGATATAACTGGCACTCGAGGCGACCCTTTGTGTCCGCACTCCTGCCCACACTTGTGTCGGGAGCGGTCGGCGTCGGCGTCGCCTGTCTTATGAACAAATACAACGGCCGACGCGCGCAGGAGAGGGACGCCGTTCTCATCCATTACCTGCTTCTTCACGAACACGAGTTCCCAAGAATTGGTACACTTCTCTCCCCTCCACCCCCTCCACCCCTCCCCCTCTTTCGACCAATTGTACCACTAATACAATGAATGTATGAATAAATTGATGTTTTCTTTAAAACAGAGCGCAAAAGATTTGGCGAAATAACGATGGCTTGGACTCCATTCAGGTGTGGAAACGATGGCTTATATATAGAGAAATAGTCCCAAAAATGGTTATTATTAAACAGTAAACGCTTTAATCAATAGATTTAGGAATAGATTATTAAATGAATATTTAGTGTAAATATTAAGTGAATAAATGAAATGAAATGATTTCAATGTATTGGTTGTATTGGTTTGAAAATTGAATTTACGGTACTTTCAATATGTGGACCAAAGGAACCATTGGAGCGACAATTAGATGTCACAATCTAATTGATACAATCATGTGATCGCTTTCATTCAATGCATACACACTGCGCGTTGTATTTGTGATTCTCAGGTCTAATGCACTTTGAATTAGACTAATAACTAAATGACCATTTTATTGGTCACTTGTATGACAAATGGATTGAGTGGTCATTTTTACTGTCACGTAAGGCTGCGTTCCTTACAGTAACGCCTAAACGACAGACACCGACGGCTTTCAAAAGCCGTAGGCCAGCCGTAGAGTCACCCCTCCATTAGGATAGTATTGTCACACATGAGGGCCCGATAAGTATTCACTCAATAAGTAGTGTTCTTTCAAATGGCAATTCCGTAAATCAATTGCAAAATAATTATTGCATTGATTTAAGTTTCAAATTGTGTAACATTTACTTATAATTGGCAAATACACAATTAATTCGTACACTAATATGGTACATTTTACTCTAGATAAAACCACTTGGTGCATAACTGTCGAACTATAACCGCTAAATGTTATACAGCGTATAACACATTTATCACTTAATAATATTAAGTTTATTACTTTTTAGCCCCAAAATTATTTAATTTTCAATTATTTTTGAATTTCATTTAAAGAATAAAAGCTTTTGAGCGTAATGTTGATCAGTGCTAAACTGGCACTGACCGGCAATTTTTATTATACAATGTATAAGTACTGCACACTATGGAGTCGTGTGGTATACTTCACATGGCCAACCGGGTTTGGCGCGTTTGGCCTCAGTCACCACTTTTATCGGCAAATTGTTACAAGTTAAATCTTAAACTTTATGAATAAGCATATCATAGGATATATCAACGGAAATGTATTGACGAGAGGAATACATTTCCGAACTAATGTTCAAAATCTGACCTAAATGAAAAAGGTTACAGCGAAAAGTAACAATTGAGTGGCAAACATTATCGATTTATATCAATATTTATTATAATGATAATTGATTTTCCAAATTAAAATTAAATAATAATTTTTTACATAGACATTTTAGCATATTGGGCATTAAAACTTGCGCAAGCTTCTTTATTCACCATTATTAAACAATTTGTATCTAATTGTTGTCATTAATAATAATTTCATTTATTTGAATAGATTATGATAATTAAATAGATATATTAACCGTTAAATTGATTGCCGGTGTATTCTTTATTAATATTTAATGTAAAAGTTTATTTTGTGAAATTAATGCATACCATTGCCAATGGTCCATTGGCAACCGTCCCATTCACTATACATTGGTACGACTAACGTTTGACACTTCCCTCCCAGGTCAAATATACTCCTGGAATATATATTTAGAATGAAAGATATTTTATCTTCCTGAAAACAGGGAAAATAAGAAAATGTGGTCAAACAACGACCAGTCAATGTATATAAATAGTTTTTTTCTAACTGTAGAATATATAGTTAAACATATTGTGTCAAAGGATTTTGTTAAATTTATTCAATTGATTTAAACTATTTATTGAAACATTTTTAAAACAAAACTTAAAGATGCGCTAGTATTTATCATCAACATTTGAACTTAATTTGCATTTATGAATACATTAGTTCCTTCGAAATCTATATCTTCCGGGAAATTCCCATATTTTGGGAGAGAGGATATTGGGAAAATAGGAATATTTCCAAAAGTGTCTAACATTAGGTACGACTAAAATATTTGTGTTTATAATGACAACTATTAAATTTATATAAATTGTATGAATATGTTCAAAAACTATGAGTCTATGTAAACTTGTGTGAATTTACATAGTCAAATTATGCTACAGTTCTCCACCACATTCATCACATTCATAATAAATGGTGTGTTTTTTATTTTGTCGTATTTATTAGAACACAAATGAAACATACATTTAAAGAATATGCAAAGTATGAAATGTCTGCAAATATTTGTTGATTGTGAACGTGTTTTAGTTTAAAGAGATTTCGATGTATACAACATTGCCAAACAGGTCTGCAATTAAATTATTAGCATTAGCTTATTGTATATGGCGTTGGCATCAAATCTTTATTCATTTGACATTTGCACACAATTTTGATTTTTAAATTTGATTTAAAAATTAAGTTGGAATACATTGTCCTTGGTTAAATGGCCACTCTCCCCTTTCTTTCTAGTTGAATGCTATAATGTTTTAAGTCTACAATAATACTAAAATAAGTTATTTATAGATAGAGTTAACAATTCCTTGAGTCAAATTAAGCCCAACTTTTTCATAGAATCTCTACTCTAGATATTTGGAATCACTTTCACAACTTGTCTCTAACTCTTGTGCTAACTCTTGTGCTAACTCTTGTGCTAACTCTTGTGCTAACTCTTGTGCTAACTCTTGTGCTAACTCTTGTGCTAACTCTTGTGCTATTTAACTAATACAGTTTGCGTAATAAGTATAACACGTCGGGTTTTTGGCTCACAATTAATTAATTGTGGTACTAATGTAGCAAAATTCTTGAGTATAAGCATTCAAATTGAAGTAATCTTAAGAAATTGCCGGTAGGGTACAAATATTACTAAAGCTGATCAGAATATGTTTTTAAATGTTTTTAACGGTTAGCTATATATGTTTGGGACTTTGGGGGCAAACCAATTACATAATAAGGGTCATTTTAACAAAGTTTTATTTTACATATAAA